TGAGTTAATGATGCCACAGAGATTTTGACTATGTTCCTAATAGCACACTATTCTTAATTTTTGGCAAGATTTAATAAGCAGAAATCCTGGATGACAATGGAGCACATTGCATTGCATACTATGTCCTTTAATTAATTGTGCTCGACTTGAACTTCCATTTCCATTGTGTCAATACACAGGAATGACTCCATCTTTAATGCATCCACCTTCACTCTAAAAAATGCTGGGTTAAATATAACCCAGTGCTGGGTTAAAAAGGGACAAACCCAGCTATTGGGGTGCTTTGACCCAGCGGTTGGGTTGTTTTGAATCCAACCGCTGGGTCAAAACAACACAATAGCTGGGTTTGTCCCTGTTTAACCCAGCATTTTTAGAGTGCTTATTTTGACTCATTATTTGGTCAGAATGTCAAAAGTTAAGATATTTGTACACAAAAATTAAGTTACAAATGAAACAAATACATTTTAATACAATATTTATTATATATATAAATGTTACATATAAATACTGTTATCTTACTTTTTTTTAAAATTGAGTTTAGTTTATAAATCAACAATCTCCCTCGCACACCTGTAGGTAATCGTTAGGTGCATAGGAAAAAAATTTAAAATAATAAGTCACACACACTATCCGCACTTGTATAGAAATGTATTCACTAACAACGTTTCGGTCCCATTACCTTCATCAGACCATTTATTCTTTTTTGTTTTATTTGAGTTTAGTTTAAAAACACCTTGATTTTTGGCATGTGTGGTACTGTCGTGAACGCGTGGCAAAGACACGGAAGAGAAGAAAATTGTTGAATAAAGTCATTATTATTGTTCACACAAAAAGAATTCTTGTAGCTTCATAACATTACAGTTGAACCACTGATGTCACATGGACTATTTTTCCAATGTACTTACTAACTTTCTGGGCCTTGAACATGGTAGTTGCGTTGCAGTATATGTAGGGTCAAAAAGCTCTTGGATTTCATCAAAAACATCTTAATTTGAGTTCCAAAGATGAATGAAGGTCTGACAGGCTTGGAATGACATAAGGGTGAGTAATTAATGACATAATTTTCATTTTTGGGTGAACTATCCCTTTAAGTATGTTATTCTGAACATTTTCAACAAGCCATTTATATTTCCTATTATTAAACCATAGCTTCTAGGCCCTGAAGATGAGTCACATCTTGGGTCATTAGATGACTGAGTCATTACAAATATAGCAGCTGTTCTCTAGAACAAAACCAAATGAGTCTCTTCACTCAACAACCCATACGTAAAGAGATCCATAGATCCGATGAAGAAGATGTACATGTACATGTTGGCTCTAGTTGTAGATTAGCTCTCTGGAGGAGGCCAAGGAGTAGAATACATGCTTGAACTATAGCCGGACAAATGACTAGGCAAGAAGGTAACACTTTATTTTAAGGTGTCCTTGTTGCACGTGTTACATGTACTTACTATTATAATAACAATTAATTATGCATAATTACATGCAACCATAACCATATAGTAAGTACATGTAGTTAATTAATATTACTCAGTACTTATACGTATAATTACACTGTAACAAGGACACCTTAAAATAAAGTGTAACCGAAGATGCATTTCTCTCAAGAAACATTCAATTAAAAGCCATTTTCACAGCATTCTAAAATCAGATTTGATTTATATCATGATAGGAAAACAAGTGTCTTGTTTTCATTTCCTGCATTATATCGTAAAAGTGTGTGTTCATTTGGCCTAGTAAATGTGCCCTTCTATTCTCATGAAAAAAACAAGCCATTTGATTTAACCAGGCCAGATCATTTACTCAGCTTAGTTTATCAAAATGTGTACTAGGAAAGAGTGTCTAATACAATCCAAGTCATGCACTTTCCAGTGCATGTGTGAATTTGGAGGGGTCTTAATTATATTTCATAGCACAAGGTGATGAGGAAGGTAATATTTCATCCTTAGCACTACTGTGCTGTTTTTTAAATGTGTCTCCACAGTTTTGCATTCCACGCGTAACCGCATCATCAATTTGAAGTTCATACATGCATATGCATGTCACCTGATGCTCTCTTCTGACACATTTAAAAGATAGCCTGAACTTCAGTGTATGACTTTTCCAATACTTCTATGTCCTTGCCTAAGCAAAAACAGTTTGTGTATTGAGTTTCTTAAACAACACCACCACCAAAACTACAGGGTCATGTAATTATGAATAGGAGAAGTAAGCACTGCAATATTACATGACAAGACTGCTATTGTTTCAAATAATCACAGCTATGAATGATATTCAGACCACTGGTTTTATCCAACAGTTAAATAAACATGCAATATATTGATTAACTTAGATTTTACATATAGTATTGCCAGTTAGTTCATGTATTCAAGCATTCCTGAATCAGTTGATTGAATGGTTCCCTCAAAGTCAGTCACTTGTCGTCAACTATTGACGTAAGTAACAAAATACAACACTAGACAATATAACACTACAAATATTAAAATAAATATAACACTTATTATTATTATTATTTCCTTATTTGATAGAAATGCAGGGTCCAAAAAAGATTACAAGGTATATCAGCAACTACCTGACACATAAATGAAATTAAATGAAATTAAATTAAAGATTGTAATGCATTAAGATATGATCATTTTATTGCAACTAAAACTGCAGCAAACACAGTAGACCACACCTAGAAAAATTATTATATTATTATAAAATTATATCATATCATATCATATTATATTATATTATACAGGGGACCTACAAGGAAATATTAATGCAATATTGTAAAAAATGTATGAAAGTATGCCAGGTTAGACCCTGTTCCATTTTTTTTTTCCCCCATCATGGGTAAATTTTCTCTTTCACATCTTTTTAACATCTTTTTTGCCATCTTTATTAAAATCTTTTTTTTTTTTACACAAAACTAAACATAAACATGCAAAATAAATATTGTATACTTGTATATATTGTTATTTCAATGTTTTTTTTATTTATGTTATATTTATATAATATTTTTATATTATTCTTATATAATTTTTAAATTGACTGCATAACATATATTGTGACAACTATGTAGAAAACTGTTTAGAATGTTTATCAGGAAATAAAGCCTTCTGTTTCACTTATGGAATGATACACTAGCTTACTGTATAGCATATACTGTTTCCTTCCTTCTGTTTAGAACAAAAAGCATGTGAAACTATATGCAAAGATGAATATTACATCTAATCTCATTGTTACACAACCTTATTACATTTAAAGTAATTACACGGGCTTTGCGCACAAATAAAATTTAAATTTTGTGGGGTGTAAGCAAAGTTTATATATTTTATTTTTTAATCATTTTAAAAATGCATTTATTTCACCACACTTGTGCTTACCCAGACGTTATATTGAGAATGCAGATTCATGTTTTTCATCTGCAGAACAATTTACAGTAGCACTACTGCTTTTGAGCAAACAGTAAAGTACCGCAAATTCCCATTTATAGTAAATTACTGTAAATGGCATTAAAAATACCCATAATTCAGTGCATATTACAGTAGTTAACCGTAAAACATATATACGGTAGTTTACTGGGCTTTTTTGCGGTAAGTAACTGTAAAATTATGCCAAAGTCTAACAGTGTATTTTATACTTGTATATATTGTTATTTCGATGTTTTTTTTATTTATATTATATTTTTATAGTATTCTTATATAATTTTTTTAATTGACTGTTATATGACTGATATATTGTGTACCTGAAGATGACTTGACAAACACAAATAAACCATATATTGTCGCAATCGTATGTTTAATGTCTTCATGTTTCCAAACGTTTCAGTTTTTCTGTGAAAACAACTGTTTTCATACAGCAATAGCTGGATGCTTTTCTCCATATTAGAAATTTCCTCGTAGACTTTCTGCGCGAGAGTGCCTCCGGCTACGAGTATGAATGAAACATACACTGCATGAGTGTTTAGCGCTCCGTGATGTTCATCTCGCCTTATTCTGGGTCCGAATAAAACATCAGATCATGCACAGACTATCCTGTCTCTTTGAATTTAAATCTATATTTATTCACACGGGCTCTTGAAAAACTCTATGCGAACACACTTACCCGAAAAAGTGCGGGGGACGAATTTACGTGATATTAAAAGTGGTGGGGACACGTCCCCCATGTAATCTACGCCCCTGACCCGTGGCATTAATATACTGCATCTGTGCCAGCGTGTGATGTAATAAAACTGCAGCTCTTTAATAAATGCATTTTTCCTTACAAATTGTATGATCAGCATAACAATTTGTGTAAATGTGTAAAAGGTATGGCATGATGTGCCATTATATACCAAGTACTTTCACTCTACTCACACTACATTTTTTGGAAGGTAATGGTACTTTTACTTGAGTATATTTTTTCAGTACTCTTTCCACCACTGATGACAACTAGAAAACTGTTTAGAATGTTTATCAGGAAATAAAGCCTTCTGTTTCACTTATGGAATGATACACTAGCTTACTGTATGGCATATACTGTTTCCTTCCTTCTGTTTGAACAAAAAGCATATGAAACTATATGCAAAGATGAATATTACATCTAATATCATTGTTACATAACCTTATTACATTTAAAGTAATTACATGCATGTGGTTTCTACTTATATCAGTGATAAATGCAGTTACTTCACATTTTTATATAAAGACTTGTCACCACAGGTACATTTTACACTTTAAAATCTCTAAAATTTGATGATCTGATGCATGCATATGAATATTATTAGCATGACGCTGTCACGCGGAGAAAGAATACATGAGAGAGAGAAATGTGTGCCAGCAACCGCATGAGTCAGCCTGATGCAAGCGCTTTCACTGTATCAAGACCCTGCATGGTGTGTGCATGTGTGTCTGTCGAGTGAATTCCCTTATCGAGTATGTGCCATGTCTCTTGTGCCGTCTCCCTCTAGACGATGTAACATCTTGATTGAAAGTTGTCTGATACTGTCTGCCTGTTTCTGTCCTTGTCATTAGGGGCTCCATGATTGCTGACTACATTTACTGGCTGTCAGGAGGCAACAACCAGCACATAAGCGAACTCATCAAACTCTATTGGCAGGTGAGGACGGATGGGCTGCTGGGTGCCCAACGCCCAATCAAAATCTCAATGAATGATTATTGCTTAAAAGAGTGCCGACTGAGGTAGATCAGTGCGTATCAATCACAAAATGTCTGTGTAAAACATCAGCACCTTTGACCTGAAGGAACACTGTTTAGTTTGGCAGTTCAGTGTTGTTTAATGCTAATTTACAACATATAAAATTAATGCATTTTGACCTCCTTAAAGTGGGCTGTATCTGCAACCGTCTCATAATTTGCATTTGCTTGAAATGAGTTGAGTGTGGGAGAGTCAAGCCCTCTCCTTTTTTATTTATGTATTTTTTTCTATCCATTTTCATCTCACATGGATTGCAGTTCAACTCGTGTGTTTATTATGATGGCCCACAGTAAGGGTGAGCTTTTTCATCTTCTCGAACCTGCCCTGAGTTTTATTTTTTCCCACTAAAAGGTTTTCGTATACAATAGAAACGCATTCACTATTGATGCCAAATACAGGAAATATGCTGTTATATGACCAATGTAAATGAAGAGAAGAGCATCTTTTTGTATATAGTTTTGTCCTCTGAGGAAGAATAAAGTGTAAGGATACACAGCAACACTTTTATCAGTGTTCCCTATGTAGAAAAGAGCAACATCCTGCAGCTGTTAGTGCTGTAAATTCAAAAGGGAAAGTCTAAACAAGATGCATCTTAAGTGAAAGGAATCTTATCTGAGTTCTTGTCAGTGGTGTTTTCATAATCAAACAGCATCAGTCGTTTCACAGAACTCAAATAGGTCACCATGGGTTCTCTCTAGTTATTTACACTTTACCTTTAGAAATAATGATTTCAAAGTTTGTGATTCAACAGTTCTTGTTAACATTGTTAATATTTATATTAGTGTCAGCCTTAAACGGCCTACAAATCTCTTCACTGACTGTCTGATACAAATTGTGTAAAAAAAGCATCTGACTGAATCTGCTTCTTTGTTGCTATAATGCTAGGTGGTTGGTCACTCATATCTGGCAGATGGTCACTTCCTGTCTTGGTCAGAATAAAGTCCAAAATGAACCAGACTTCATGCTAGTTAAAACTATTATTTTAAATATGAATATTAGAAAAACTTACTTAAATAAACCTAAACAAAAATGAGAAATGTTGCCTTGGCAACTAACTGAAGTATTAAAATGAATATTACTAAAACTGAAATAAAAAATAAAAAATAAAAAATAAAGGTACTTAGAAATATTTAAAAGCACTAATGACGACATAAGCACAAATGGCTAAAACTTCTCATTTAAAATATGAATAAATAATATAATAGCATATAAATAATACTAAAATAAAACTGGTCTATGCAAGACTACATTGGCTTCCATAACATTGATACCTAAAAATAGAAAGCTAGTGTTTGTTTGTTTTTTGTTGTTTAAAAAAAAAAGATACATATAGATAAAGTAGAATTAAAATAGAATAGAAAGTTCCGGCCAGGCGGCTCACCTCGCTCCTGTAGTTTGTCTCATCTCTGTTGCTAATGAGACCCACTACAGTCATGTCATCCGCAAACTTAATAAGGAGATTGGAGTTGTGTGACGTGTGCAGTCGTGGGTCAGCAAAGTGAAGAGGAGGAGAGAAGACAGAGATCCCGCAGCTCTTCGGCGTGCGCAGAGTTTAACTCTAAAAATGTGGTTCTGCCGACATCGAGCAGAAACTCACGACTGTATGCGCGCTTAGAATACGAACAAAAACACTGCGAAAACACCTTTCTGTCGGGAAAGAGAGAAGCCACAGCGTGTGAACGCACCGCCATCTTCATTAGTAGATTCATCTTCAACAACTGAAAGCAAGGCAAGGACAAGTAGTAGGATGATTGGAAAGGATGAGTTTAGAGACTTCTGGCTCAGAGAGTGGAGAGAAGGATGAAAACAAGTGTATATTTGCTGGTAAGATTTGTTTGACAGTTTGTGGAGTGGCAAATTGTGCACTGAGGTTTGTAATTTTATTAATGAAGAATGTGGCAAAGTCGTCAGCTGTTAGAGTTGATGAAGGAGGGGGAGGAGGAGGACAAAGGAGGGAGGAAAATGTTTTAAAGAGCATGCGAGAGTTAGGCTAATTGTTCATTTTGTTGTGATAGTATGTCCTTTTAGCAGTGGAGGCATTAGCAGAGAATGAAGAGAGGAGTGATCGATATACATTAAGCTCAGTAAGATTTTGTGATTTGTGCCATACTCTTTCTGCAGCTCTGAGCTTAGAACGATACTCACGGAGAACATCAGATAGCCAAGGGGCAGAAGAGGTGGTACGAGCTGGCCTGGAAGACAAGGGGCAGACAGTGTCTAAACAAGACGTAAGAGTGGAGCAGAAAGTATCAGTAGCATGGAGATGATAACTGTTCAGGGAAGGAAGCAAAGATGAAACCATAGAAGATAGTCGGTAGGGTGAGAGAGAGCGCAAGGGGAACAAGTAGTAGGAAAGAGAATGATTCAGAAGCGATACTTATGTGCCTTGCTGGTGTCCCTGCTCGGTGGAGTCGAACGGTAGAGTCAATGGTCTTTACACTCTTCGGTCTTACCACAAGGAGAGCTTCACACGAGGGCTGCCACGACCGCTGCCGTGGTATACTAAGCTTTTTATATTCGTCTAACAAAACTCAAATTGAATTAGCTGGACACACTTTCCTGTTTATCACAACAAATGGCCAAGCAAAGCGCATGACACTGACAAGGTACGCAATACAGTACGAGACCAAACGCGATTTCAGCACGTCTCACAATTTAAATCACTTCTATATTTTTAAAGTATAAATTTATTTTACTTCAAAATGATCAAAACCACATGCCCATCTAATAGAAGTGCCAGAGAAAAATATAAAAGCTAAATTATCATCAGGATATATAATTAAAAAAAAAATTACACTGTGCATTTCAGTAAATTCCAAGTATTTATGATCTGATTATTTGTAAATGAAATAAGCGTATTAAAAACAATTGCCTTTCTCTATTTCCCTTCCACATAGGGGCTCCTGGAGGCAGCACGTACTTTGAGAATAATTTTGCAATCATGTTCACTCCCTGGTTTGGAAAACCATCCTCAAACACCATTGAGAAGGTGGAGGCGGCCTTCCAGAAGCTTTATCCACCCTTCACAGACTACATCTTTACTGGTATGAAGAAATTAAGACACTGTATTTAATAGTGAGGAAAAAAAGAAAGACCTCCCACAATGAAGCACTTGAATAGGAAGGTTTCAGATTCAGAGGCATTAGAGATTGTGTCTGACTAATAGGTACAGCTTTGTCTAAGGCAGGTGTTGCCCTAGCAACAGGTTGTGAATTAGTGTGAGATGTGAGGCAGCTCTCTTTGTTTTACAAACACTGAGGCCAGGGCTGCTCGCACAGTCAGGTCAAGAGCACACCTTCATGTTTCAATTAGCCTGCTCCGTTTTCACATACCCCCATTATGAACAAATCCATAATCCAGCACTCAGTTTGTATATGTTATAGAAATCCTGACCTTAGACTTGAATTACTTCAAATTACACACTTTGCGTCAATGTACCCAACCATTTACACAGTACTACTCAACGTGTGATTACCTCAGGGTGACTGTACATGTGTTTGGTGAGCTGAGTCATTAATTTAATTTGAAAGTTAATGTAGCCTTACAGAGACTGTCAGTTGAGGTCATTGAATTGTAAGAGAGAAGAGAGAGAAGGGAATTGGTCAAACTGCATATGTGACTCACGTTTGTTTTTATTTATTGTTTTTTCCCCCAAACCAATTATTTGACTTTCAGTGACTCATATATAAAAATGAATCAGTGTTTTGAATGAATAGGCTGAAATTAGTGAGTCAATGATTTACACATTAAGTCACTTGTTTTGTTCCTAAAACAATCAGTATTTTTTAACTAATTGCTTGAGTCAATTATTCAATTAATCATTAATGAAATCAGTCACTTGTTTTGTTTATGAATCAATGTTTTTGGATGAATAGGTTGAATGACTGATTCAACGATTCACACATTTAGTCACTTGTTTCATTCCTAAATGAATCAGCGTTTTTTAACTAGTCACTTGAGTTATCAATGAGTATTCAATTATTCAATGGATCATCTGTGAAATTGGTCACTTGTTTTGTTACTGAATGAATCAATGTATTTGAATTAATCAACTCAATGATTCAATGACCCACCTGTTTTATGTCTGAATTAATCAGTTTTTTTAACAAACTGACTGAATGAATGCTCCAGTAATTCACTCAAACACAGTCACTTGTTTCGTTCCTAAATAAATCAGTGTTTTTGATTAAATCAATGAGTGAACAAATTTGTTGCTCAATTGTTTCATTTCTGAAAGAATCAGTGTTTTTAAATGAATCGGTTGAATGAATGATTCAATGATTCAGACAGTCACTTGTGGCCACGTATATCACCATTTATAAGACTTAACCCATATATTGGCTATAGAAATATGGTAATATATAATAAAAAAAAATCTCCAGCAACCAAAGATAACCTCTGGGTTATGGGTATTAAATGGCCATAATCTGAGATTATACATTTATTCTGGACTAATTCATTATGAAAAGATCAGCTATTTGAAGGCTGTTTTTTTTTCGTTCAAAGCAATGCTCAAGAAATACACACTGGTGACTCGAATATTACACTTTCCCCTGCTCGGATCAAATGATTCAAAGATGCCTAATGGAGAAACAGTGGGGAAAAAACATGTCTGAGAGCATTCCACTTTACTGAAAGTTAAAATGTAGATTCAACATGAAAATTTCTGAACATCCTGACACAGCAGGGCGACTGTCCCCAGGACACAATATTATGATGCACTTATACCACAGCGCAGACACTCTCCAGAACAGGCCACAAAAACCTGGATAAGATGAAAGCTGTATATTGTAAGGAATAGTCCAGTTAAAAAGAAAAATTCTGTCATCATTTACTCACCCTCATTTCTTTTCAAACCACTATTACTTTTTCTTCCACACACCACAAAAAGAGATGTTAACCTTGATGTCCATGTTGTAAATGGTGCAAACAATGAAAAGAAAGGATTAGAGACTGTAAATCTTCAAAAATGAAAAAATAAACTTGCATGCTATATTAAAAGCCATCTAAGAAGCAGTGTGAACATTCTGGAAAAAACGTCTCCTTTTGAAATCAATGTAAGAAATAAGGGCATGCAGGATTGGAACGACATGAGGGTAAGTGCCAATTTTATTTTAAGGCTATAATGAAATATACTACACAAAAGACAACAGTAAAGACAACCTTTTTACGGCAGAGAATATGACGCAATCCATTTTATACTGCACAAATTCCATAGAATAGTCATCAGCTCCCTGCTGTGCTCCATGTCTACATTTTCATTCCTCAGGGATGCTGTTTTTTTTTTTAACCATGTATCTTCTCTTTTTTTAACTAATTAAATTAGCATAATGATCACCGTTGTGGAGAAATAATCCTGCATGACATAAATGTGTGACACTGAAAGACGTGTTGAATTTAAATTTAGTACCCTAGAGGAGAACAGTCACTCATCACAGGGCTGTCAACATCAATGTCAGTTCAGCACTGTGCATAACCAGCTCTGAAAAAAAATGGTTGCTGTCCTTTGACTATGTACCGCCTTTAGCTACCTGTTGATGCAATCTCTTTGAAAGAAATTTACGGTTTGCATCAAAATAAGGCAAGTAAAACAAGATAATGTCACTTTTAGCATTGCATCAACTAAATTAAATTTAAAGTTCACACAGTCAGTTTTTGGGATTGACAACCGCCTTTACTTACAGGTGTGAGTCTCGAAATGTCACGTTCACACAGCATACTTACAGTAGCTCTCGAAAACTGTCTGTATGAACGTGCAATGGGAGTCAAGCCTGTATTCTTTACCAGTTACCATATTAACAGTGACCAAAGTAATATCCAAGATGGAGACGTCCATAAAACTGAAATTCTTATAATTTTCTGATACGACAAGTCCAATTGAGCCGCAAGTTCATCCGTCAAATCGGCTCCGGTGAAGACTGGATCTAAAACTTTCAGATGACACTCTCTCTCGCACTGTATGACGTGACAGACAACTAGTTGTCCAGTACTGTTCCGTTCACACAGCTCGTGTTTTCCGAGAATGCTGCTGTGAGTCCTGAAAATTTACTGGTGCGAGTTTGGTTACAGAATGCGGTTGTCACGCCTGAAAATAACTGTCCTGTGTGTGAACGTAACCGTATTAAGGACTCAAATACAGGACTGAAAACCATATTCTGCTGCTGTATGAACGTGGCCATTGATTAAATCTCTGCATCTATGATCTAGTACAGTGCTTTTCAACTGTGGCCACCTAATGCGGTATCAAAATGGTTTGATGTACAGTATAAAAGTTACTATTACCATCAACTGCATAAGCCCAATGCAGTGCAAAACTAGACTTTTACTTTTTCTGACCAAATGTGAATGTTACTTACTTACTCGTGCAAAACCCACCACCACAATGCTAGAGTGTTGTAGGTGGTTGCCAAGCATTGTTATGTTGTTGCTAGGATGTTCCAAGTGGTTTCTAGCAGGGTTGTGAAACATTTAGAATTGAAGACTTAGCTGCTTTTCAATTCATGAGTTGGAATTTAAAGTGAATTGGCCACACCCCACGGGAAGTTTGACTGGAACAAATATTTATTGAATTATAATTGAAAAACATTAGGACTGTCGAAAATTGAGTTCAACATCTATCAAACTGTCTATGTGCCTATCTATCGAGTCAGACAGAAACACAGACATATAAAACAATGGACAGAACAATAGACACACAAATAGATAGAATGACAGACAGACAGATATTATATAGACAGATAGAATGACAGAACAACATACAGACAGATAGAATGACTAAGTGACAGCCCTTGGCTTCAGAAGGAGTAAGGATGGAGACTTCCTACATAAACTGCTCTACAAGAGGTGTCCCACATTCACAGGTTGGTGTGGGCTCTATATTGGGTGAAGGGAGTTTATAACAAACAAACTGAAGACTTTTGCACAGCATGTTCATAGTGTTAAGATGAAGGCTCTCTGAGTGTGCTGATCAGGACATGGTATAATCACGGCTACACAATACATCTTTGACATCACACATTCATCTGCTTGGGTGATATTGTTGGGAGCTCTCAGTGGGTACTTTTGTGAAAGAACATGGAGTATATACGCTAACCTCAGGCAAGCTAAATGGATCGCAACGCTTACGGCATTGAAATACGCAGCGCAAATAGACCCCTCAATCCTCACTACCATTACAATGACAAAGATGTTTTAATACAATCCCTGAGGGATCTTTTCTACTATAGTCACACTTTTTCACCACAATGACATTGTTAGGTCAACAAAAATGAATTATCTAGTAGTGCATGGAAATTAGTCCAATTGAAATTAAGGGCTAAGGCTGTGTCATATGTTAAATGTACAAATTTGCAGACTGACCTCCAAGGTCACACAATCATCGTCTTTCAAGAATAAGAAATTCCCATTAACTCAGCCCTTTTCTGTTCTGTTTAAGCAGACAAGAGATTACAGGGACCGATCAATGCATTGACATCAATGGCATAAAATTTCTCAATTAACCTTGGTTCGTGCAAAACCGTAGAGGCAAAGATGATGTGGATGTCAAACACACTGCCAGCAGCCAGCAGCCAGCAGCCAGCCTGTACAGCAGAGCAGGAGAGGTCGGCAGAACTGGGGCTATATTTGTGAATGATCTCTATTAAGAGGAATAAAATCTATGGCATTTGAGTAATGTCTCAAAGGTACAGCCACTGCATGGTTCGTTATTTTAATCAATTATCCTCAAGAGGCTGTGACAAACTTTCTTATGCTAAGGTAAAAATACTACATGATCGGTTGCCCATTTTCAACTCGTCATAATAGAGGCTGTTCTGTATGCTGCAGATGTGTTTACCTGCAGCATCACCGTATAGAATGAATAACAGCGTTTATTAGTATACAAATGTTGCAGGTAAACATGCACTGCATATACAGTGAACAGCCCATTGCTACTCTGTTTCAGGCCCTGAATTCACTGTAATGGGGGCCCTCAGGGGGATTTTTGGGGCACCAGGAATCAGTCCCACCTTTCCCCCCGCTTGCGATGCTCCTATCATGCATAATGTTATAAATAGATGATGAAAATTCAACTTCCCTCAATAGATGGTAGAGTATACAGCATTATGGCACCTAAACTCTTGAACTCATTCCCACTGAGCCTTCATAACACCTCCACCGCCTCCAATTTTTCTCTCAGAATTACCTGTCAAACTAATTGTTTTTTATCATTGTTTTTGTGCTTTTTTAAACAATTTTTAGCTTTGGAAAAGCAAAAGGTAAAAAAGGTAAATGAAATAAATTAAATCTATCTAGATATCCATCCATCCCTCCATGCACCTTTCTATCATTCTGTATGTCTGTCTGCCTATTTATATTTCTGTCTGTTTATCATTCTGTCTGTCTATCTATCTATCCATCCATTCCCCCACCTGTCTATCTATCGTTCTGTCTGTCTGTCTGTCTGTCTGTCTATCTATCTATCCTGATATTTAATGGTGTGACAATTATTTTGTTCCTAAAATGGTCTGCTTATCTCGAAGCATTAATCACAGGTTTTCAAAGTTGGCTCAAACATTTGGCCCCTACTGTAAATGATAAAATAAGTACTTACTGAACATTTACACACTGTTGGTCTGTTGACTTTCTTCTACAGGGCAAAAATCTCCATTCACTACTCCCAACTACAGAGACCTGGAAATGATATATGAGATGCAAGGAAAGAAGATTCTGCCAGTTCTGGATTTTATTAAGTGCACCAAGCTAAGTGTGGGTATACATTTATGTTCTTGTGTGATGCTTAATGACTGTACAACAGGATGTTTGTAAGTATTATACGCCATGCCCTGGTTGCCAGGGCATTGATATGTGGTCGTTAAGGAGATAGTTCACCCAAAAATGAAAATTCTATCATTATTTACTCACCTTAATGTCGTTCCAAACTTGTATAACATTTATTCTTCTGTGAAACATGAAAGAATATTTTGAAGAATGTTGTAACCAAACTGTTTCGGTTCCCATTGAATTGCATTGTACAAAGTCAATGGGAACCAACATTGTTTGGTTACCAACGTTCTGCAAAATATATTTTATGTTCGGTAGAAGAAGAAAAAAAATCATACAGGATTGGAACTACATGAGGGTAAGTAAATTATGACAGAATGTTTGGGTGGCCAATCCCTTTAAGTTGTTTTGAGGGGTTTTTAGCATGTTGTTGACCTGTTACTAAAAGGGTGCTAGGTGGTTACTTATCACCCCAAGTTACAAGAGCCTCATCACTGTAAGTATATGGGATTTTTTCATTTGTTTTATCGTCGGCCAGGCAAAAAATGTTCAATCTGATCACTTAGAAAAGTAACAGCACAACCACATGAGTTCAGCCAAACACATGATTTGAAGTCTCATTCATGTTTACAGCACAAACGATATGGAATGAGTTACGTGCTGAAGGTTAATATATTGGGTTAGGACTAATCACTTGGGTTAGGACTAATCATTGGTAAGTTCAAATCACTTACCCAAGTATGATAATGCTTGTGATGCTTCCCCTAGCCAACACTACCAATTATATACACTTGCTGGGCCATCAATGACTAACAAGCCCTCGCTGTCAGTATCCCTGGCACATCCATCCCACTAATAATCGCAATATTTCTCCAACCTCACAATGGACTACTGGAGACACCAACATGCTGAAGTTTTCATTTCATTTGGAGGCTGAACTCTCAGGGAGTTTATTTCAGAGGACAGTGATTGAATTAGAGCAGCAATGGCAAATGTTTGATTGGCCCAGACATGACACTAAATTACATTAGTCAGTTATTCTCCAGCTGAGAACAGCCATCAGCTCTCGATTAAAACACAGAGTTGATTTCATGTCCCCTGTGATGAAATCTGTGGCAACACATTCATTCTCAGAATGAAGAACTCAACCTGTCAAGCAGTACAGCGGATCTCAGTTCTGGATCTGCACACATGCTACTTTGCTGAGTCACCGAATCATACAAATGTATAAATTATTAAGTATTGTACATCAATATTAAAGTTTCTGAAATGACAGCTCCACTGCATCAATGTCTAAACATGTTCAAAAATATAGGTTTAATATATTAATAATATACCTTTATTATAATATAGGTTTAAGTCTGTTATAATTTACACACATATATACACATATACATTTAGATATACATATACAGTGGGTATAGAAAAGAATCACCCTCCCCCCCTTAAAATAAGCATATTTTGTTACTTTGCAGCCTGAAATGAAGAGGGACGTTTTTTTAATCCAGCTGTATTTACTCAGTGCATCTTATATAACATCCAAAGATATAACACCAAATTAAAAAAAAAATGTAAAGTTGTGGACAGGAACAAGTCAGGAGATGGATACAAAAAAAAAACTTAAGGCTTTATCAATGCCTAGAAGCACAGTGAAGTCTATTATTAAGAAGTGGAAGGTATTTGGTACGACACTGGATCAAGACGTCGCTCCAAACTGGATGAAAGAGCCAGGAGGAAACTGGTCAAAGATCTGGCCAAAAGGCCTACAGCGACTCTGAAGCAGTTGCAAGAATTTATGACACTATGAAGAGTGGTCATTGTGTGCATGTGACAACAATATTACAAATTCTCCACAAATGTGGCTTGTATGGGAAGGTTGCAAGAAAAAAGCCACTCCTCAAGAAAGGCCGCATGCAGTCACGACTGAGCTTTGCCAAAACGCACCTTGAAGATTTTGAGACGGATGACTAAAATTGAATTATTTGGCCTCAACACCAAACTAGGGATGCTCCGATCCGCCTTTTTCGCCTCCGATACCGATTCCGATACCTAGGGTTCGGTATTGGCCGATACCGATTCGAGACCAGTGAAGTTTTTTTCCCTCATTTAAATAAACGTAGAATTTATATATCTCTGTGTGGAACTGATAAAAATGCTTTCACAATCTACTAGATACAGACTACTTCATTATAAATAAAATAAACAAATATGAAAAAATATAGGCCTATGTATATTTATAATCTATGACAAAAATGTATCATAAACTAGGTTAGTGGATAATTTGGCAGCAAAAGTTATTCTAGAAAAATGTTACACATTGCTATTTGTATTATTATAAAATCCATTCATTAAAAACATTCATGAATGTATTTATATATAAGTATATACTATAAAATTAAAATACATTTCTTTAAAATGTATAGCATATTTTTTAATAAGGCAACAACATATGATAGATACGATAGGACAAAACAAATACAGTGCAGCACGAACTGTTTTTATACAGTCAACCTTCAACGAACACCTTGGCAATTTGAATCGCCATTGGCTAGTTGTTTACTCGCCAGATTGAAATACTATACTTTATATATATATATATATATATATATATATATATATATATAGTTATGCCATTTTAAAA